AAAAAAAAAAAACCAAAAGGAACAATAGAACGCTGAAAATGATGGGATCCGTTTCTTGTGAGATAGATGAGAAACGACGGAGAGGCACAACGTCGCGAGGAGAGGGAATACGCGAGAACGCATTTCGCACGAGAGTGCGCAGACACCTCGTAGGCTGCGAACGAGTAAAAATGGCAGCGTTTAAATGCAAAAGTCAGGCTCAATAAAGGGGTATTATGGCGACTGAAACTGAGTATAGAGATGCGAAGTGGAACGACAGTGGAGAAAAAACAAAAAAACCTCGTCGACAAGGCCGTTGACAACCATCTCTATACTCAGTTTCAGTCGCCATAATACCCCTTTATTGAGCCTGACTTTTGCATTTAAACGCTGCCATTTTTACTCGTTCGCAGCCTACGAGGTGTCTGCGCACTCTCGTGCGAAATGCGTTCTCGCGTATTCCCTCTCCTCGCGACGTTGTGCCTCTCCGTCGTTTCTCAGTCTATCTCACAAGAAACGGATCCCATCATTTTCAGCGTTCTATTGTTCCTTTTGGTTTTTTTTTTGACTGACGGCCTTTTTCGCATTTCTTGTTTCATCTTCGAGCAGAATACCGAAAGAATCCGATTGCGCTCTGTGTTCCGCCATATCAGCTCAGGCATTGTTCTCACAGTTGATTCCGCCCAGGAGAATCGAGGAATCGGAGAAGAAGAATAGCGAGGAATTCAATTCCAAGAAGAATCAGATGCGGAAGAGATCTAGATTTTTAGCTCTTCTGATACACGGATATTCAGGCTGCCTCCACAACGTCACGTTATGCTTGCATTGTTGACACAATAACAACTTCTTGAATGAATGATACAGGCAAGAATACGCAGGAAGCAACTACACACAGATGCACGCTCGTAAAAGAAGGATAGGGAGGATAAGACGTGGGAAAAGCAGAAAGAGAAACATGAAGCAGGAACGGCTCTTCGCTCACGATAGTACCCTTTTTGAAGGAGAGTTCCACGAATAGGTCGAAGAAGGGCAAGCTTGCTCATGGTCAGTGTAAAACAGGCGGACCGTCTAAGCGTGCGGACCTACGCGCAATTCGCAGCACACCCAGCGATCTAGCATGGCCCTCTCCGCACCTTTGCGGCTGCAGCACCCAAATTCTCTCGCCGTCTGACTCTGGCCGTTTAGCAGAGACAGCGTTAGTATTGAAGAGGGCTGCGTCTGGGAGTCACATCAGTTCTCAAAGGGCTAAGAGGAGTTGCCAGTTCTTCAGTTCTAGGTGGTTTGTCATGATGCTCTCTTCATTTCGGCACCACTGAACACCGCTACCTTGATTTCTAATAGGCCCTCTTGCACCGTGAACCATATTTGAAGCAACAATCCCAGCAGGTTTTCACCTTCTACACTAATGGTGTGGAACGATGCGCTAGCCCTAGTCAAGAACATAAGAAGTGTGACTGAACAAAAAACTCACCTTGGAAAGCCGCTAGAAAGGGAGCTGAACGGCTTCGAAGTGGGCGTGGTTGTCGCTGCAATCCCCTCGGCCGATTCCAACCACGCCCACTTCGAAGCCGTTCAGCTCCCTTTCTAGCGGCTTTCCAAGGTGAGTTTTTTGTTCAGTCACACTTCTTATGTTCTTGACTAGGGCTAGCGCATCGTTCCACACCATTAGTGTCGAAGGTAAAAATCTTGCTAGGACTGTTGCTTTGAGTAGCGTCCATAACGACTATGACGCTTGCAACATCGTTTTCGCTTACTGAATAAGTGCAAACGTGCCAGTGCAGTTTGCCGCTACAGCTTTTCACTGGTCTCCGGGATTCTACACACTGGATCTTTTCTTTCTAGTTGACAGCGATCAGAACGAGGAATTACGGCGCTGCGGTCATCGAAACACTTCCACGGTATTCCGCCTTTTCTGACGTAGAGCGGGTGGGGCCAATTTAACCAGAAACTATTCAATCCTTTTCACCAACTCTCCCATTTTCCTAATCCCATAGCTCCGATTCCACGGTTCTACTAGTCGATTCGTCTCTTTGCTTTCCGTTCATTCTGCGATTCTCTATGTCGGAGTCCGCGACGATCTTCTCGCCAGATCCCAGCGTTAATCGTAAGGGTCTATACGGGTATCGACAACCTCCGAAGGTTGAAATGCCAGATTATTTCCAAAGTTTCAACCAACAAAATAACAGTGCATGTTCGCGGAGAAAAATTGTCGAAAACGCTTGGGATAGAAGCTTGCTTACCTCCGTAATGCGCCTGGCTGAGGCAGTGAAAGCGTAAGCGCAGAGGGGAAGGGCACAAGGTGGAAAAGCGCAACAGGTGAGATGGCACCAAACAACGGCCTCCTGCATACGGGAAAAATGAAGCTATCGAAGCTGTCTTTGCAGGCTTCAGCCCTTGTCTGGCCGCCTCCATGTCTGAGAGTCCCGTATCTGTTGTTCCTCTTGCGGATTAAAGGAATCAATTGTTCACCCGACTTCTGCCTGAGTTATGCCTTTAAGTGATCACTATCAGAGTTATGCCTTTCAAAAAACGCTCGCCCAGGCCGCCCAAGAGATGAAACTGGCCGGCCGCCCTATAGTTCAAGGATCGTGATCGTACCTGATTATCCTATAAGATGGCTGTTTTGCCCTGAACGCCGGCTGGTGATTGCGTTGACTGTTCACATGTCACACATCTGTGGGTACGACGCGCCAGTGTTCCAGGTGGCAAGTGCGCGTTGGAGCTTTAAAGCGAGAAATTACGATAAAATTTCTGTGCAGCATGGAAGAACGAGCAGCACTTCAAGCAGTAGCTAGAGCCCAAAGGAATCGAGATGTGGCCTTTTTGTGACTAAAGGTGCGCTCGTTGCAGCGCCCTGGGGCTGCCAATCCTTTCTGAGCTCCGCCTCCGCCTGTGCTCCGCCCCTCAGCAGATCGCTGTTCGATTATCATTCTGATAAGGTATGCCACTTCGAGCGCGTATCCAATTTTTTTCTCATGGAATGCTATATCAATCAAGGTATGATCTCTGGTGGTATGATGGCAGCTATGGTTTAACGAGTGCCGACGACCTCTTAGTTGGTTGCCAACTCGTCCATTATCGGAGGTCAACGGGCAGAGGAAAGTGGTCCCATTTTGCGCGTTTTTGACGGATTTCTTTGCTTTTTTCGCCACTGGGCATTATTCAGCATCTTCCACTTCCACTATGAACCCAACAGAATCTTATCGTAATCTCTCGCTTTAACACGTTGCAGACCGCTCATGTTCCACGTTTTGCGGCCGCGCAGGACGTCAGTGGAACTTTTAGGAATTCTATCAACAAAATGGAAAAGACCTACCGTAAGATGCAGAGGAACCCTTATCGATTGAAATGGAAAAGATTACAGAAAGAAAACCTGGTCTCTGTTTCGAAAATGGGGGGGGGGAATGTGAACTATAAGGTCTTACGCAGCCGGCGGACTGCAACCCACATATGGGCTGCATGGAGCTGTAACCATGAGTGTCAATCCTAATCCTCAATCCTCCTGCTTAGCTACTGCCGTTACTCTTGATGGCTGTCAATGATTCCGAAAACCATCTTGCACCCTCGAATTCGGCGCACTGCTATGCCTTGCTATGCCTTTGAGATTTACAGATACTTGTAAAGTAACTAGCCTCTGAAAGTTTTCAGGTATGAGACCGGCTTTCCTATTGGCGACAGTCGTTGCGGTGGCTTTCGCTCGGCATGTCGACTTACCGGCACCGTATTCTGATTTCTGTATTCTCAAGAACAACACCAATCTCTACGATCCTCAAAAGCAGTTTGACATCCCTTGGTTGGTTGTTGGCCACTTTCGGGCACCCTTGAACCTATTGAAAAAGTACTACTATAGTTCAAAAACAGCTAGCACGCTTATACTATACGCTTAAAGGTACAACATCAACCTCGATTTACCGCCGAAGCAACGCTGGACCGAGATATCAAAGGCTTACAGTGCACAGATAGAGGATCTTATTTCAGTACGATATTAACACAGGGTCTTTCTCAAGAAAGTGATGAGTTTGATTATATTTTAGGTGCTTATCGATCTTATCGAGCCCCTCATTCCGAATGCTATCGAATGGGTCGATCTGCTGTTCGGAGATCTCGAAGAACGACTTCCGCAACCGTATAAGGATGAAATTCCAAGTAGTTCTGTGACTTCAGGAGGAAAAAATGAAATATGCTTTCTTCCACTGCAGTGGAACTCTCCTAGGCCGATGTCAGACTTCGCGAATCGAGCGATTTGCGACGGCCCGCGGTCGCGTCGCGTCGCGTGCAGCCTATCGAGCCATTCGCTGTACGCGACGCGACCGCGAAGGTACCTCGCTTACATCAGTCTTAGGATGTACCACACACTCGACTGTATTTGAAATTGTAGGCGCAATCGAGGTCAGACGTCACGTTGGACCAATTTCGAAAATTTTACGACCCCCTCCCCCCTCTAGAGAGGCCTCGATACGACCCCCCCCCCTCAGGGTTTAGCCCTTCAAGCGTCCTCCACCACCACCTACCAAGGTGCGATTCTATAGTCGGGACCGCCTCTCGATTCCCTTCCACAGATGATGTACAATGACGTCACCAAAACCTGCACAGCACTTCAGCTATCGTGATCACTGCATTTAAGCCTATTTTGTAATTATCGTCATGCGACCATGTAAAAATGGACTGCGTTCTCACCCTGGGGGGGAGGAGGAGAGGGTGACAGCGCTCTTCCAACAGGAGCGTTACTATGAAATTCGCATTGTGCGCTTGAAATGAGCATCACGGAAGAGTATCCACCTGAGAATTTAAGAAATGTTGAGTACATGGCGTGCCAAGTACTATTTTCATTCCCCGGGCACTGCAGCCCTTTAATTTAATTGTGAGCATGAAAGCATGAAGAATGGAAGAAATTATTCTATTTCTGCGAGATTTCAGTCAATCGCCGAAGATACAGGCATACCAGTTGGTCAGATTGTCATCTATAATATTTTCTATGAGATTTTCACTGTGTGCACATCCATCATTGCTCAAGATCCGAATGGCCATATTATTCATGCAAGGTGAGTTTTGACGGTCCACCGTTACCTGTTTTCATCATCTGCAAACTACGGTAATATTATTGAGGAACCTCGACTTCGGCCTATTCCTTGGGTGGAATCCCGACACTCATGAATGGGAAATCTCGAGTGCGCTAAGGAAGATGATCATTAATGTCAACTGGATCAAAGACGGTAGGAATCTCCTTTTGAGGACCAGTTATTCCTTTAGTGAATAGCGCACGACAAGGTTATCAGGGAGCATTGCTTACGGGACGCATCATATCCTTACCCCAGCCGTCTCCCGCCGCTGATTCTATCCTAAGAACGGGTGACACAAGCCGCTTCTAACAGTTCGGTGAGTGACCGCTACCGTAATCCACTGGAGCGCGCAGCTTCACTACTGCAGTGTACCCACACGTTTCAAACGCTTGCAGCCGAAGATACAGGCATACCAGTTGGTCAAATTGTCATCTGGTTTGGCGGCAAAAGTACACGCAGCGCTTGGCGAGCGTTGCGTGTATTTTTGCCACCAAACATTTTGCCGGCAAGTCCGACTACCTGCCACACTCCTCCTATATACGAGCAAGATGCGCAGAAAAACGACAAAAGAGCACGTCGAATTCAAATCGATGACACGTGGCATCCCGCGCCAACCAGTCACGTGTTACGGTTGCGGTCACTCATCGGACTTCGTAGTCTCTCTAATGTGAGTGACAGTGTTGGTTGCGTCATAGGACCCTCCATTGAACGCGTGATGTGCTACCCTCTCCTGCTGAGACACTTTTTTATGAGGGGTGGCGCTGTCTGAAGTTTAGACACGCAGAAAATGGCTGGTCCTATGACGCAACCCTATCTCCCCCAACTATAGGATAGGATCAGCGTTCGGTGACGTTTCCCTCTGGGGGAAACATAGGATACGGCACCGGCACCAGGTCAAAGAATCAGAACGGATTTACATTTCTTGACATCCCTGCTTGTGGAAGCTTCTCAGGTTGCTCCCTGAGAGTGCACATGCCTCGTTGGCAGAAGAATGACAACATCATAAGAAGTTATAAGGGTTTAAAATATTCAGAGTCGGATATGGTCAATTGAAGTGTATTCGTGCATGTTGTCCTAAGATGTCAGGCTTTACGAGTCTGCTATCAATTCCCGCTACTTTTAGGTAAAATACTCTACAAATCAAACAACTTTGCTGGATACGTGGGCATCTACAATGGAATGAAGAAAGGCGCGTTCTCAATCACGGCTAATGAACGGTTTCAGACAGCTGGAGGTATGACCATATTTTTATTTTTGTTGTGATTATTTGGTTTCTCATTTTCATATTAAACCATATTTTTACATTGTGGTTGGAGAGATTTTCGACTTTAGCTTCAATTCGTATCATCGTCAATGAAAAATTACCAAAGAAAGTGAGCCATGTAGTCGGGTTGTCAGGTCTTCCAGTCAAGTTAGTATTCCTGCCGCCTGCAAACATGAAAAGCTTGCTGACATCATCACGATTTATGAAGAAAATGTGGCCGGAACAACTGCACGTACTGCGTAGAACATAAAATCTGTCAGCTACGTGGAACAGTTATCTGGTCACATGTGAAGGATGCGGACAGAAATACGTTGGTGAAACGAAGCGCCCGCTGTATAAACGGATGGACGAGCATAGTTGAGCACTGTGGTATACATCTTCTAACCAGACAAGTGCGTTTTACACATCGTTTACTATATCACCGACAAAACCCACTAGAGTGAATATCGGTGGAGGAAAACCCCGAAAGAGGGAGATCGTATTTGTCAGGATGTGTCATGGGGGTTGTAGTGGTGCAGATCAGTAACGACCACATCAGTGGCATCATGGTGCAGGTAGGAGGAGAGGATGTAGCGCAGCAGAAAACGAGAAGATGTGAGGAAACATGATAAAATCTTTGCTGGTTCACTCGCTCCATTCCTCTACCTTATGAGAAGGGCGTATTTGAAAGCAGTACAAAGAATGAAAGTGCATCTCCCGCAAGGAACGAGGCCACATGTGCACACGCGCTGCAAAGGCACCTCCTCTATCTACCGCCCGCTCCCTCTCCCTTAATACCTCGTTGAGAATGACACTGTTGTTAGGGACGCTGTCGCAAAAACGACAATAGTGAAGGAAAGGTAATGGGCAAATGGAGCTGTTTATTAGGTTATAGTAGCTAGGAAATGTGTTCATTACCACACCATGGTCGTTCAGTTCCTGCCAACGGATCATCATAATAAAAAAACCTTTCAATCGATTCTGCAACTTTTGGAAGGGGGGTGTGCATGGCCTATGCAGACAACATCGGACAATGACGATCTCCTCTTTTCTTGTCGTTTTCACTGGAAGAATGTTTTTCTTTCGTTGAATTGTTTGTAGAATTTTCGGAAAATGCCAACGAACCATCTTGCAATGATGAAGAAGGAGGCGACTTTTTGAGTGGTCAAAAATGGACCTTGATAGATCCTCGACGCAATATCTCCTCAACTAAGAGATTTAGAAGAAACTAAACAGACCATTAGAAAGCGCAAACCTTCCGCTTTCCAAAACTGTCTTCCCTTTTTCAGGATCTTACGAAATTAGAGAGATATTGCCTTTGAAGTGGCAAAAACTCGCATGAAAATTTCAGCGTCCTCGACGCTTTACTCGACGAAATTTGAGAGACCCTATCTCTTCGAATGGAAGGTTTCAGAAATTTCAACACTAGCTGGTAACAAGCGACGTAGCTCTATCTAATCTACCACATACTGTTCCAAAATTATGAAATGGGGAATGGACCTTTTCATCGAGGTGTAGATTTCGATGGTTTCGAGCGGGGTTTCGGCAAATCTGACCCAGGGATAAACCGCGCTGCAACTGCATACTTTGAAGTACATAAAATGGAACTCGTTTATTCACATCAAATCAAAGTTAGGGGTCGTATCAAGACCACGATTTTACGGGGGAGCTCGCACTGCTGCAACCACATCCTTGACACGATTTTTACCCTGCCTCCCCCTCTGAAAGTTGCTATACTACACCGTTCAAAAGAAGACTCATTAGAAAGGAAACTGCTCGAAGGGATTGCTATTAAGCATTTATCCACCGAAATGAACACTGGGATGAGCTCATG